GTATTGTTTGGGTTTTTACTGAAATCAGATTCAGTTCCATGTCAACAGCTCCTTTAGAAATATTATTCCCAGGAAAAAATACGACGTGTTCAATACTTTTCCCCCTGCTGTAAAAGCGGTTGTGATTTTTCAGCGTGCCTTCAACAGTAAGACCACATCTATATCTGTATCTATAATATATGTGAAAAATGGACCATAATGACATGTCCATGATGTCCAATGTGTCAGAAGGCGTAAAAAGGTTTCTGACTGTATTTTTCCCATCCGATGTGACACCTATTAATTAAACACAGTTGGAAATAGCACCTTCCATAATCACAGAGGAAATGAAGTAATGTTCAAATTTAGCTTTCTCTGGCAGGTGTCTGCACAGGAGACCGGCCAGAGAGCACAGAGCGATAATTGACACACAATCTTTAGCTATAGATGAAAAGAGGAAGTGGACCTTCTGTATTCTCAGCTTTCACATTCAAAGCATTTCCCAAATTCATTCCCATTCGTGGTTGTAAGAGCAGTCTGGTAATCTACAAACAGAAAACAGAAACGTTTGTAAATATATATTTTTTAAAGTACAATGTTTGAGGCAGCACATTGCAATATAAACAGATGGACAAAACACGCATGAATTCAATTTCACAGTTCACTGGTATTTTTACCTTTATTTATATTCAAAAAACAACCCAAGCTCAGTCTGAAAACGTAGTCCTGCAGACGTTTCTGGAGACCGCGATTTACGTAGCCGGAGGTACGCATTTAGTTTTTTCAAGCAATTGCTACTGGGCGGTGTGACGCCGCTCCTCTTCGCGCTTGCTGGCTGACGGCTCACCTCCGTGTATAGGGCTTTCCCGTCGCAACCAGTTTGTCCGGTTAGCTCGTCATGTACATCAATGGAGCGGAGACCCGGAGGTGAGCAGACCGCGACGACCAGGTTCGAGTGCGGGGAAGAGCGGTTCCAGAAATCAGGTAAGACAAAAACAGAATCCAAAAAATAAAGTGAACGAGTTCATAACAGGGCGAGAATGTGGTGGAATCCAAAAATGTGGTTAAAATCAGACGAGGGCTTTTCTTTTTCTGGACGACTTTTGTAAATCGTTGCTTGGGTTTAGGGAAGGAGAAGGAGGAGGGTGGGTCGGCCAATTCAATCATTCAGTCAGTCGGACAGACGGTCACTCGACAGCGGCCTCCGGCGGCTTTATGCGAGAACAGTGAGGACGACGCAAACTCACGAGGGGCCTCTCGCAAGCTTACGCCGTTCACGCCCGCGCTGTTCTCGCGTAAACGCTGTTGAGTGACCGTCTGTCTGCGGATTCGCGAAAACAAAAACTGCACAAATACGTACCTCCTGGGACGTATTTCACGGCCTCCAGAAATGTCCGCAGGGCTACATTTCCAGAATGAGCCTGGGTTGTTAAAAAAGCATGCCTTAACCAGAGGTGGGTAGAGTATCCAAAATCTATACTCAAGTAAAAGTACTTGCAGAAATTTTTACTCAAGTAAAAGTAACAATCTTAAAAGTTACTCGAGTAAGAGTAAAAAAAAAATACATATACAGTTGAAGTCAGAATTATTAGCCCCCCTGACTTATTAGCGCCCCTGTTTATTTTTTTCCCCAATTTCTGTTTAATGGAGGGAAGATTGTTTCAGCACATTTCTAAGCAGGGTAGTTTTAGAAACCTATTTCTAACACCTGATTTATTTCATCTTTGTCATGATGACAGTAAATAATATTTTACTTGATATTTTTTAAGACACTTCTATACAGCTTAAAGTGACATTTAAAGGCTTAACTAGGTTAAATAGGTTAACTAGACAGGTTAGAGTAGTTAGGCAAGTTATTCTATAATGATGGTTTGTTCTGTAGACTATCAAAAAAAAAAAAAAATAGCTTAAAGGGGCTAATAATTTTGTCCCAAAATTGGTTTTAAAAAAATTAAAAACCGCTTTTATTCTAGCCGAAATAAAACAAATAAGACTTTCTCCAGAAGAAAAAACATTATCAGACATACTGTGAAAATTTCATTGCACTGTTAAACATCATATGGGAAATATAAAAAAAAAAAGAAAAAAGGGGGGCTAATAATAGACTTCAACTGTTCATATACCTATATATATAATCACTCAACAGGTAAAACAACAGAAGCTTTCTGCTGTTGGTTTGTGGACAGTCATGGCTAAGACAAAAGAGCTCGGTCAGGACCTGTGGCTGCGCATTGTGGTTGCTCATAAGTCACAGATGGGCTTTAAGACCATAGCTAAATGTTACATATAGCACCCTTTATTGGATTTGTCATCTGAAAGAGTATTTTAATAGGGCTGAGTCACTTTTTTATCAGGGGGTTGCCACAGCAGAATAAACCGCCAACCATTCCAGCAAATGTTTTACGCATATGTTCCAGTGGCAACCCAGTACTGGGAAACACCCATACACTCTCACATTCATACAAACACTCGCACACTACAGCGTATTTAGTTTATTTAATTCACCTATAGCGCATGCGTTTGGACTGTGGGGGGAAACCGGAGAACCCGGAGGAAACCAAACACGGGGAGAACATGCAAACTCCACACAGAAATGCCAAATGGCCCAGCTGGGACTTGAACTATTCACTTTCCTGCTGTGGGGCGACAGTACTAACCACAGAGCCACCACGCCGCCTCGATACTATAAAACGTCCTTTATTAATCCATTACATGCGTGTTAATCTCAGACATCACCGCTGAAGGAGGTGTGGATTGTAGCAGACAAACAGACACGACACAGCAGCGGCTCCTTCTGTCAGCGCTCAACAAATCTCAAACACTGCATAAACTGACTAACAAGGCGGGAAAGCAGCGGCGTGGTTTTGTTGTAAATGTCCACAATAAAACATTCATGCCGCACTTTTAATTATTAAGCATTAGGATGAATTATTAAGCGTGTCTTCATGGTCAGGTGTTGCCGTGTTTGATGTTCAGGGAGTGAAAGCGCTTCACGCTGGGCTTTTGTGACTCATGTTTGAGGTTTTGGGTGTTATGATTGGCCAACACCCAACCATCCCTTGTTTTGAGTGCTTGATCTCTTCATACAGACACTAGGTATATACTGTACAGCTCAAGTCAGAATTATTATCCCTCCTGAATATTGTTTTCCCTAATTTCTGTTTAACGGAGAGAAGATGTTTTTTTCAGCACATTTCTAAACATAATAATTTAATAACTTATTTCTAATCACTGCTTTATTTTATCTTTGCCATCATGACAGTCAATAATATTTGACTAGATATTCTTCAAGATACTAGTCATCAGCTTAAAGTGACATTTAAAGGCTTAACTAGGTTAATTAGGCAAAAAGGGAAATTAGTTAAGTCATTATATAACTGTGGCTTGTTCTGGAGACAATCGGAAACAAATATTGCTAAAGGGGCTAATAATTTTGACCTTAAAATTATTTTATTTTTTAAATTGAAAACTGCTTTTATTCTAGCCGAAATAAAACAAATAAGACCTTTTACAAAAGAAATAATATTATAGGAAATACTGTGAAAAATTCCTTGCTCTGTTAAACATCAGTTGGGAATTGTATGAAAAAAAAAAATATCACAGGAGGGCTAATGATTTTGCACTATATATAGTGCTGTCAAAATTAGTGCGCTAGCGCATGCGATTAATTTGAAATATTTAACGCCTAAAAAAATTAACGCAATTAATGCAATTGCAGGTTTTTTTTATTCATTTACATCCTGTTGTGGTCGACGTGTGTTTAACGTGCAAAGAAATATGGATAAGACCAAGGAAGCACTTTTTGAAGGCAAGTTTCAGTATAAAACAATTAATGTCGTATCACCAGACTCTCCAGCGTTTCCTCCAGAGTTTCATGCAATTTCGCATTTCACACACACACACATATACACACACACACACACACGTTTGTTTTTGTGAAAAGTGGGGACATTGCATAGGTTTCCATTCATTTTATACTGTCCATGTATATTGTATTGCCCTCACCCCACCCTACCCCTAAACCCAACCATCACAGGAGACTGTGTGCAGCTTTACTCTCTGATTAAACTCATTCTGTAGGATTTGTAAGCATTTTGAGAAATGAGGACGTCACCAATGTCCTTATATTTCACCTCCTTTTTGTAATACCTGTGTCATACCCATGACATTATAAAGATTTGTGTCCTAATATGTCACAAAAACACGTACACACACACACACACACAGCCAGAGCGACTCCCTTGAGATTCAACTTGCATGATCGCATTCATCAAATTTGCTTAAACTAAGAGTTCTAAAGTATGACTGTATTTCACGAGGATTCTGACAGAACAACGTGAAGCAGACACTTCCGTTTAAGGGGAAAACACATCAAACTTAATAAAACACTGGAGGGCACGTGCTGAAAGGCAGAGGAATGCGCTGTCTGAGAGCTTGCGACATCATCTGGCATTTTCTGAGTACATTTACATGGACACCAGTACTCTGCTTTTAATATGATTAAGATAATACTCTTATTAAGAGTCTACCAAGTAAGCAGTGATTTTTGATTACCTTAAAGGACCACCGAGTCACGAAATGCAGAGGTTTTTATTTCCGTTCGGGATGTGTTATCAAATTCCCTTAAAACAGAAGTCGAAATTTTTAAAATTAAACATCTGAAATTGCATGAAATTCTGGAGGAAACGCTGGAGAGTCTGGTGATACGACATTAATTGTTTTATACTGAATCTTGCCTCCAAAAAGTGCTTCCTTGGTCTTATCCATATTTCTTTGCACTTTGAACACACGTCAACCACAACAGGAAATAAAAAAAAACTGCAACTGCGATAATTTTTTTTAATGCATTAAATATTTCAAATTAATTAACGCACTAATTTTGACAGCACTAATATATATATATATATATATATATATATATATATATATATATATATATATATATATATATATATAAAATGAAATGTATGTGGAAAGGAAAGTTAATGGTTTCATGGATGTGTTCATTCTGATTGTTTCAGATTATCCTACACCATGAAACTCGCTGTCGTTCTGCTGCTCTGTGGCTGCTGTGTGCTGTTTAAACACAACTGTGAAGCTCAAGGTAAATACGTTTATTTATTATTAAAATGATCACTTTTATTCTGTATATTCTCAAGCATGTGTAAACAGGGTTGGCGGGGTCCATGTCTGGTGTTGGAATATGTTAATGTCATGTTGATCACCAGCGATCGCTGATATATACATGCCTCTTCACCAGGACTTTAATTCTGTCACTTTATGAACTACATATCCCGTCATGCACCTCACACACACCTGTCCAGAATCACCATTGATTACACACAGCACACAGCTGGGAGCTGATCTAAGACCGATTACAGGGACTATATAGACTGCTCACATTGACACACACATTGCTAAGTCTTGGTGCCCTATCATCTACCTGGCGCAGTAAGGAGCAAGACGTGTATGGCACGATTTGTTGCTATTTTCAAACCAGCGCAACAGTAATTTTTATGTTTTGCACCACGTTGTTTAAATAGCAAATCTATTTGCGCTACTGTGTGGACTCATGGGTGTTCTGGTCTATAAAGTGTCACTTTAAGTTGAATACTAGTATCTTGAAAAATGTGTAGTCAAATATTATATACTGTCATCATGGCAACGATAAAATAAATCAGTTATTAAATGTGTTATTAGAACATCACATTTATAAATGTGTTGAAAAAAATTGTGTTTCTGTTAAAGAGAATTTGGGGAAATAAATATACAGGGAAGCTAATAATTCTGACTTCAACTGTGTATAAAATACAGGCTGTTAATTTCCTCAAGTCATTTCTAGCAGCTGTGCTGCAACAGGATCCCGGTGAGTAGATTACATAAAACTCAGTGTCAGAGGCCTTTGAGGCTTCCTCTGAGGCCGATCCGTCTCTTGAGGATTCAGCTGTGAAATTCCAGTCTGCTAAGAGAATGTGACAAATTTGCGTCTCAGTTGTTGGGTGCACGAGTTTGTGTCTTACACGCGTGTTGGAGGCAAAGGTCAACATCAAGAGTCTTCCTCCACATGTAAATGAGCCTGGAGATCAGGTCGGTTTTGCCCATTGGACCCTTTTCACATTTCTGGGTTTCTCAGTAGCGGAAGTCGTCATAGTTGCACTTTAAAAAAATCCGTAAATTAGCAGTTTTCTGCATTTTGTGATTTATGTTTATATTTTTATGCTTCTGAATTGCATTGTGGGGCCTTCATTGTTTTCAACAACTTTTAACCATTAAAAGTTGGAAAAGAGTGACTTTTATTAACAGTTTTAAGTTAACAGTTTAAGTTTTAAGTTTAAAGTGATATATTGTCTGGGTTGGTGTTGTATATTACGCTACAAAAACCTTGCCAGTACATTTTCGGCCATTTTATAGGTTTCTTTCTCTACACTACCTGACCAAAGTCTTGTCGTCCATCCCAGATGTAAAATCAACACATTATAACTTGTCTTCTATTTTGGAAAAGTGTCAGAAGGTCGATTTTTCTGATGAATCATCTGTTGAACTGCATCACAAGCATCAAAAACTACAGAAGACCTACTGGAACCAGCATGGACCCAAGATTCTCACAGAAATCAGTCATGTTTGGTGAAGGAAAAATCATGGTTTGGGGTTACATTCAGTATGGGGGCGTGCAAGAGATCTGCAGAGTGGATAATCAACATCAACAGCCTGAGTTATCAAGACATTTGTGCTGCTCATTACATTACAAACCACAGGAGAGGGACAATTCTCCAGCAGGATAGCGCTCCTCATACTTCAGCCTCCACATCAAAGCTCCTGAAAGCAAAGAAGGTCAAGATGCTCCAGGATTGGCCAGCCCAGTCATCAGACATGAACATTATTAAGCATGTCTGGGGTAAGATGGAGAAGAAGCCATTAAGGATGAATCCAAAGAATCTTGATGAACTCTGGGAGTCCTGCAAGAACGCTTTCTTTGCCATTCCAGATGACTTTATTAATCAGTGATTTGAGTCATTGCAGAGATGTATGGATGCAGTCCTCCAAGCTCATGATGGAGTCAGACACAATATTCATTCTGTCTCCACTGCAGCATGACTCTATACTGGACATTATTTATGTTAAGTGACAAGACTTGTCTAAGTAAAGTCAGACCTTTCTGTCTTAATTAAAGAATTAAAAATCAAGGCATGATCGTATTTTATTATTTATTAAAATAAGTGTAATCTAGAGGCATTTGCCTTTCATAGAAGCCACTTCTGCTACCAAATGATCAACTAGAAGTCAACTTATTATTTGCTGTTCCTAAAACTTGGATACACGACAAGAATTTTATCCGGTAGCGTATATATTATGTCATATTTTTACTATTAAATACTAAAATGTCAATAAAAGTCACTTTGTAAAACTGTAGAGTTGAATTTTCAACATCAAAAGTGAACAGATCAGAGATGAGGATCCCATAATGTAGTTCACAACCGTAAATAAACCGTAAAGAAAACACAAAATACAGAAACTGTTAATTAACACATATTTTTATAGTGTGCGAAAACTTAGACCGCGATGAATAGGAGAGAACAACAAATCCTTTTTTTACAATCTTATTTGTTGAAATAACAAAAGAAAAACTCCACGATAGTGTTATCAAGACATTCAGAGAAAGAAAAAAAATTGTGTTAGACCGATGACGACAGCCAGAAGAGAACACAACGTCAAATTTACTATCCTGCCCCGTAGACGCTGCATTAGAAACACCGCAGTGGTAATTAATTGTAATTTGATGTAAAGATGATATAATACATAAATAAATACATATTAAAGATCATCATACATAAAAAAAATCTAAATAATAAAAGCTTCCAATGATTTAAGATACTGGTAAATCATGTCATAGCAGTCTTGTGAAAAGGGTCCACATGAGAAAAAAGCCTATTCTGTGCATGTCCAAAAGACAGATTACAGAGCAAATCAGTCAGAGGCTTCCAGCTCCGAGGCTCAAACTTGGAAACAAGCCATCGCAATGCAAAACTGATCCAGACAGACAGACGGAGTGTGTGCCAGTGACGATTGCCACAACGTGAAATCAGAAATGAGAAACAGATCAGTTTCTGGCCTCTGCTCAACACTATCGGTGACTGCTGAACATTATATTGCAGCTTTGATGTGTCATAGTAGTCATGGTGCGCTGGTGTTAAAGGGATAGTTCACCTAAAACAATTATTAGCATTAATTAAAGCAAAAACTGGTAAATCATCTTTTATTTGTCAATAATATGTTCCTGTAAAAATCATTAGTGTGAAAAGGAACAAAAGTTGTTAGTACTGTTCTGCCCTAGCGTTCATTTTATATAGAAAACTCCAGTCAAACATATCGTTAAAGTGGTTTTTTTAGGAAAATAAAGGCTGAAGCATGTATTTCTAATGTGCCTGTGCTTGACTTAAAGCAGAGGTGGGCAAACTACAGCCTGTGGGCCATATGCAGCCCACTGAACACTTTCATCCGGCCCGCGAGGGAGTTTTTAAAATACTGCTTCTGAGTAACGATTTGGTTTCAGAATTAGTAAATTAATGATGCAATACAAGTGAACACCATTTGATGGCAGTATTGTAAGTAGTACAGTTAGGGCAACCAGTAGAATTAGAACACACTCTCTGATATTAAAATGCTGAATGAGTAAAAAAAGAGTCAGGCAAAAAACAATTGACTCTGAATGTCATGGGCCCTATCATACACCCGGCGCAATGTGGCGCAAGGCGCGACGCAATTGTTGTTTGCTAGTTTCAGCTTGGCGCAAGAGTCATTTTGACGTTTTGCACCACGCTGTTTAAGTAGCAAATGCATTAGCGCTCATATGTGCGCCCATAGGCGTTCTGGTCTAAAAAGGAAGGCGTTCTGAGGTGCACTGCTGGCGCGTTGCTATTTTGAGAAACTATAATAGATTTTTTAATAGACCAAAACAAACCCGGTCTAAAGTCCAGAGCAGAGAGCGTTAGTTGTGCGCTTACACACTGCATAATACACACAAGATGTAGAGCAATACGCAAATATCTTTACAGATGAAAAATAATTAAAATATTAATGATATATATATGATATAATAAGGAAATATAATATATATAATAATAGTATAATAATATATATTATATATATATATATATATATATATATATATATATATATATATATATATATATATATATATATACAGATGAAGTCAGAATTATTAGCCCCCTTTTGATTTTTATTTTCTTTTTTAAATATTTCCCAAATGATGTTTAACAGAGCAATGACATTTTTACAGTATGTCTGATAATATTTTTTCTTCTGGAGAAAGTCTTATTTGTTTTATTTCGGCTAGAATAAAAGTAGTTATTAATTTTTTTTAAAACATTTTTGGGACAAAATTATTAGCCCCTTTAAGCTAATTCTTTTTTGGATAGTCTACAGAACAAACCATCATCATACAATAATTTGACTAATTACCTTAACCTGCCTAGTGCACCTTATTACCCTAGTTAAGCCTTTAAATGTCACTTTAAGCTGTATAGAAGTGTCTTGAAAAATTTCAAGTAAAATATTATTTACTGTCATCATGACAAAGACAAAATAAATCTGTTATTAGAAATAAGTTTTTAAAACTATTATGCTTAGAAATGTGCTGAAACAACCTTCCCTCCATTAAACAGAAATTGGGGAAAAAAATAAACAGGGGCGCTAATAATACAGGGGGCTAATAATTCTGACTTCAACTATATATATATATATATATATATATATATATATATATATATATATATAAATATAAAGGATTAAAATATTACAAAACATATTATTTTCTAGCCTACATAAATTTAAAAACCATACATTCATGCCTTCTTCATCTTGGGGGGGTGGGGGGTTCAGTTTATTCATAGCAACTTGCTTTTGCATAATGTTATTGTTATTAGCAGTATTATTTATTATATCAATATTCATATTTGTCAGGACTTTTAGTGACATTTTAGAAGTTTAAAAAAAATAGATTTATAAACAATAATAATGTAAAGAGAAATAAATCTGTAACAAAACAGAAAATGTGCTGGTAGTTTATTACAAGGTGGTTTTCCT